AAATTAAAAACGAGGTAATGTACACTATTTATTGTCTAAAAAGCATACTAGATGCAATAAAGCTATGTTTGAAACTCTCGGTATGTAGTGCCGGGAGTGTAAAATTAGAAGAGTTGTGCAAAAAGGAATAGCGGAGTCATTACCATCACGGCGGGGGGTGGGAAGGAGTGACATCAAACGTGGATTAGTAAGACTAGTTAAATTGGAAAAAACTTTTAGAGCACAAGGACTCACGACGTAGAAGAAGACTTGGTAAATTCAGTGCCTCTAAGGCTGACGCATAGGAGTAGTGAGGAAGGATAAACTTAAGGGCTCTTTTCTGAATAAAATCCAATCTATCACTAAGACATAAAGGAAGGGAGAAGTGCCCGACAATACAACGATAATCAAGAAGAGGTCTAATGAGAGTGAAAAAAACAGTAACAAGATCGGTTGTGCTCACATTAGAACATCTGAGAATACGGAGGATATAGAGTCGCTTGACAACTTTAGGCACAATGGAATCTATTTGTGCATTCCAGCGAAGATCTGATTGAAGGGTTAGGCCCAGAACCTTGTGAGAGAAAACAGAGTCAAATGGCTTACCGTTAATGGTGATAACTGGTAAAACTGGCTGTTCCTGGAAGAAACATATGTGCATAATCTTACATTTAGATGGGAATGACTCATGTTATTGTCGACAGCCCTCTGGTGAATTCTGTCCAAATCAGACTGCAGACAAGACGACTGCCCACGATTGAGTGTATCAGACAGGGTAATATCTTCGACATACTTCCAACGATTACAGCCTAATTAGGTAGAAAAACCCAAAGCATTGAGCATTAACAGAATGAGGATAGGTCCTAACTTAGTCCCCTGAGGAACTTCAACAGTGATAGGAAGCCATGATGAAATAATGTCATTGATCTTTACAGCTTGTTGTCGTTTCAAAAAAGATAAAAAGCTACAAATCCAGGAAATAAAAGAACGGTGTACACCAAGATTAATTAACTTCCGCACAAGAATAGTGTGGTCAATACGATCAAGGGCCTTAGTAAAGTCAAGGAAACACCCATATAGGTAACGAACAGGCTTGCCAAGAGCTTTAAGCCAATGGTGCAGAGGTCGACAAGGCAGAGGGATGTTGAAGAGCCTTTTATAAAACCAAACTGAAGAAGGTCAATTTTTTGCCAATGTCTTCATACAGCCTCTTCACAGCAAAGTCTTCTTGGATTTTTGACAGAGTAGGACTGAGAGAATTACGTCCAAGGTCGTTTTCAGACTGCACTGGAAGAGTTTTTGGAATAGGTGATCTAAACGATTGTTTTCACGACTCTGGAAAAAAACCAGACTCAATTGAGCGGTTGAACAACTCAGTAATCGGATATGCTAGCTCGTCAGGGAATTCTTTCAATACTCGGTGAAGAATACCATCTGGAGCAGCAGCTTTAGAGACTAGTATTTGCCAACTTAGACTTGATTTCATAAACAGAAATAACAGGAAGCTGTTTTGGTGCAGGGAGGAAAGCAGGAAAGCGTACAATATATCGCTATTTGATAAGACTATTTGTCTATCTTCCTTGTAGAAGGACTCTAGAATAGGCTGTAAAACTTTTAGTAATGTGTGTGACATCTTTTTAAATGTGCCATTTAATTTTTTTTTGTTTTTGGGTCTTGTTTTCTTTTGATTTGTTTTGTGTTTTTTTTTTGTCAAGTTGCTGGCTTTCTAGCGAAAACGGTCTAATCTGGATTTTCATTGTCTTTGTTTTGCTGATTGGATTGGTGAGTACATCGTATAGCAGCTTCCTAAATATTTACCACTGAAATGAATTTCAACATCTATTGATCCTAGCTTTACAATTGAATACCTCTCAAGATGAAGGTGGTGACAGTGGCAGTGATGCTAATGGCATCGACGACAATGAAAAAAAGTAGAATTAGGGCAGCAAGTGATAAAAAAAAAGCAATTTGGTTGTATCAACTAAGTTCAAATTGTAAATTGGTCACCGTAACGAATAAAAAGAACCTGACGTTTCGAGTTTTAGCCCTTCGCTCTGCTTGTTACCCCCACCGATGCAGCACCACAGTTTCTTTAGAAACTTTCAGCCTTTATTCATCTCATAAAAAAGCGATTAAACTATTCTCTTCCATATCTCAAACGTCGGTATTACCTCGTTATAGTAGCTATTTTTCTCCCTTTTCTAGCTTAACCTTGTGATCCTTGTACGGGTTATCAGGGAGATGACGACAATGCATCAAACCAAGGACAACCAATCTGAAAAAATCAGGTAGATAGCAGAGGGCGAGCTATCTATAGCGGGGCTCCTACGCGCGCTTCGCGCGCGTGGGGTAGAACCCCATACCCATGGAATATGGTGAACCTCTTTTCGTTTTGTTTTCACGTAACTGACCGAGCGTACGTACGTGCCCTCTGTCATGTATGCTATCACGAAAGTACCATATGATCAAGTTTGAAAATATGGCGTCCAAGCAGCCGACCCTCAAAATTTTCAGGTTGGAGTTTTCGTTCAATTGCTATCGAGTTTGACGTTGTGGAACTCAGAATGTAAAGTAACAATACTATAGAATACTTTGCTTGGAAAAGAATGGATATCAAGGTCTTAAAAGTGACAGAATAAGCTCTCGAGTCAACGACACTACGATTCTCAGGGCTATACGAATTATGGACGTAAAATGAAAACCGAACTTTCGGACTTCAAGCAGGGCCTAGCGACAATTTGACGATTCGATGGCCCGGTAAATATTATGTTCGAGTAACATTGTGTTCGAAAAGTATTGTTGAATAGAACATTTTGCGTCAAATTGGAGTTTTTTTCAGAATGTTCAAACATAATGCTGCGAAAATTTCTGGTCTTGAAGGCACGGTAAACAACGATCTAAACATGATGAATTTTACCGCGTGGGCTTCGTACACGTAAGAAATTCGTACGTTTTTCGCTTCTGACAGTAAATCAAAAACTGTTTTGAATAAATCGGTCGTCGCGAAATATTTCCTGGTCATTTTAGTCTTTCTTCCTATTGATAGATTCCATGGAACTTGAGATCTCTTCACTCACGGAGAAATTCGCATATCCCATTTTGAAATATGATCCACATGCCAATTTGCACACATGCGAAAATATTTAGCGATTTTTATCTTTTATCGAATTTTTTAGTTAAAACGTAACATGCACCTATTGCTTTTCTCGTCGTAAATAAGTTCTTTAATTAGTCTTCTTTCACTTTAGCTTGTTTTTCGGAAAAAAATGATTTTTAAATATTTACTGCGGATTGTGTTTCTTTCTTGGTTTCTCCAAAATTTTGACTTTTCACAGGCACGTGTTGCACTTAAGTTTCACTGGCTTTAATCTATACTGAATGAACTTTTGGCTAAAAAAAAATTTAATATATGTAAAGAAATTTTATTGCAACATTTTTACCTATTGGGAGCTCCGCTCTTAGTCTTGGCTAAATCTATATATTACGATGTCTAATCCAAACTGCGGTTTTACGCGATCAGTGGTTGATTTAACGAAATAAATATCATTCCGCTGTAAGCTTTCAGCCCTCTTGACACTGCTCACAAAATTTAATGAATAGATGAAAGGTTCGGCGAGATTGAAGATGGCTTAAAACGAGGTATTGTTAAAAAATTACTAAAGTTTGTGCTTTGTGATTTAAAGTCTTAGTCGAGAAATATGAACATTCTTTTGCAGGCTTGGCATAAAAGCATGCTTGGTAATGATTCCTCTCTTGGGTGTCACGTGGCTGTTTGGTGTTCTATCTTCATTACACAAAGCTTTTGCATATATTTTCACGATTTTCAACTCAACTCAGGTAAGTTTGGAAATAAATTTATATTTGTCTGTTGTTATGCACGGTGACGAAAAACAGCAACTCAATTCAATGCTTATTTCTCAACAGGGCTTCATGATTTTCTTCCTGCACTGCGTGAGAAACACGGAGGTACATTTTTGTTGTTTCATTTCAAGCTTTCATTGTCGCTAAGTTACCTTCATTTTAATTTTTCCCCCTCGATAGATGGGCCTTAATTCATTCTTAAATCATCTTATGGTCAGAGCCCGTCTCTGGGAATAGCAACGATTATTAATTACTCAGGAGTCTCAAAATTTCTGATCCTTGACGTTAAACTGAAAAGCGAACAAGGAAATTTGGTAATATCAACTAAGTTGAAATTGTACATTGGCCTAGTAAAGAGTTAAAAGACTGACGTTTCGAGCGTTAGCTATTCGTCAGAGTGTTAGCCATTCGCTCTGACGAAGGGCTAACCCTCGAAACTTCGTCTCTTTAGCCCTTTACAGTGGCCAATTTACAATTTCAATTTAGTTGATGTAACCGACTGAATTACTTTTTTGCCCCCACCAACGCAGCACCACAGTTTCTTTAGAAACTTACTCCTTTTACTGAAAATAGAACAGTTCCTGGAGGATCAATTTCCATCTTTTATTCTTTATAACCTCACTGAACTCTTTACTGTTCAAACTCTTTAGGGCATAAAACGAGAAGCATGAAGTTTGTTTCCAATATTTTGTTTTGTTTTGTTTTCTTTTTCATCCTCTAGATCAGAAGTCGTTTCAAAAGAAAGCTCCACTCCATTTTCCCATCGGCAGACAATGGAACCAATATCAAAAGAAGCTCTGAAGGAAATGAAACTGCCAGCGGCAATATCTCCATAAAGAAGACTATAGCTAAACATAGTGTTGTGACCGAAAGAAGAAATGACGGCTCAGAGAAAACCTCTTGTCTATAATTTTTTATGCATATACTCAAATATGACACTGGCTAGTTTATAATTGGCAGGAAAGTAGTATTCCCCAAATTTTCTCAATAAATCATGATCAACAGAAGCAAAGATTTAATGGCAAATGAATACAATACGAAAACGCTACACCTTAGGAAAGGAAATACGACTTGCTTATTGTACCAGCAGGGGGATGTTGACCACCCTAGATCAACCAATTTTGGTTGCAAGAGTCGCGTGTGTAATTGGTGACCATGCCAATTGTAGTGTTAATTATTTCCTTTGAATAATTAAGGAGCAACGCATCCCTTTATTATAAAATTATTTTGGACGAATACCCAGAGTGCGACACTTTGGCATATTGAGGAGACTAAAAGGATTAAAATCATTCGTATTCTGCTAAATAATAATTTGAAAAATGATAATGATGTAATGTAACGATAGGCATTTAAGTTATCGAGTTTTTATGCTAGTGTTAAAAATTAAATAAAATTTAACGTAGAAAATGAGATTTTTCTAACTTCAGCAAAGCGTAAAGGCTACCAGTTCTCATTCAGTAAGTCTTAAGCAGTTGTTATTAGATCATAATTGTAGCTAGTGTTAAACTGTAACCGCCACCTGTCATGACCTTTTGTGTAGTTGTTATCCACTAGAGCTTTTCCAAAATCTCCTAAAAGGAGAAATTCCTGCCTAGCAGTTGTAGTATATTACGTGATCCTTTAGATAATTTGTGGCATAACCTAATCCTTTGTACTTTAGGCTTAAATAGAGCTGTTTTGCAAGGCTTTCTTTGGCCAAGCCAGTTCTGGCCAGGACACACTCACTCAGGTCAAGCCAGGTTAGACTCAGTTTGGTAAAAAACCAGTCAGTTTAGTAGTGTTTACAGAACAAATCTATGCTGAAGCCAACTTTGTTGTTGTTAGTCACCGTCTCAAGGATAGTCAACAGCCGTAATAGATCCCGGCCCTCCCGAAGCCAGCGAGTGTCCCCCGAAAAGCGTTTTCCTAGAGGAAGTTTATCGAGTTGTTCCTCCATCTGTCCGTTTATTTGTGAAAGCAAAAACCTGTTTTCACTGTAATAGAGAACTTACTAAAGGAGTACTTCGCTTTTTACGAATATTCTAATGTGTTGTAATTATGGTTCGCATCTTTCTACTTCAACCATTAATATTACACTGAAGAACAGCGCAAAATGGCAAAAACGTTTCTGTCTGATTGAGGTGGGAAGTATTTGCATTTTATATAACAGAACTGCTTCATGCGCTGCTGCTCAATGAAAATTGAGGATTTTACTTTGAAAACACGAAGCTAAGGTGCTTCTTTTCCACACTACAATATGCGAGAATTCTGCATTCATCGTATGAGTTTATGACTGAGGGGCTCGCAGATGTTGTATGACGTTGATAAAAGAGCTAGCAATGATAATTATCGCATCCGACACTCCGTCTTTATTTCTCCTTTACTCGTTTTCGTCTTTGTACATGGCGTAATACTTGTCATTTTCTCGGCATCGCGAAATGCTTTTCCTTTTTTTTTCCACTTTCGTTCCAAAACTGTAGAATCTTAAACCTTATTTGTATGTTTTTCTAATAACCTTCAGCTGTTATTTCTATTCCTGTCGGTAAAATAATAAAGCATTGTGACAAACATCATCCGCTATCAGCTCAGCTATTGCTAATTGCTAATTTCTAATTGCTAATTGCTAAGGTCAGCGGTCGCAATGGCGGCCGGTCGTGTTTCTGCCTGTTCCGCATTTTTAAAATGTTTCTCGTTGTTTCTTAATATAGCAAAAAATTGTCGTACGTTAAAAGGCTGCTGGAACGTTCCTCCTACCCATAGGACTGTTTACACCGGGTTTTTATGCGGCCTTCAACGTCGCTTACACTTTTTCAACCACAGTTGCTCTCAACCACGTGGAAAAAGGTATCTGCTTTCTCGTATCTCACTTTACCCAAATTCGGATACAGGTATTGTTTTGGAAAGAATTGCAATTAGCGGCGATGTTACTCTCAGTCCGGGTCCAGGCACTATAAATAACAGCCACTGCATAGCCAACATCAGTAGAATGAGTTTTGAAGAGAGAAAATGTTCAAGTAGATGGAAAGTTGGCAAAGTCAAAACTGTCTACAAAAGTGGTGCGAAGGAGGAATGTGGTAATTATAAACCCTTAACAATGCTAAGTATTCCTAGTATAGTTACCGAGTCAGTTATATGTGAGTTCTTAGATCAACATTTAGAATTAGTCTTACAAGAGAACCAGTGGGGCTACAGAAAAGGGCCTTTCATTTGATACATTGTTGCTGTACTTGACGGAAAAGTGGAAACTCTCCATTGACAATGGTAAAGTCATAAGTGCCATATTTACTGACTTGCGCAGAACTTTCGATTCAGAGGACCACAATATCCTTGGCTACAAAATGCAAGCCTGCGGTAGAAGCGGAAACCTTCTAAAGTGGTTACTAAGCTACTTAACAGACCGCCATCAATTTGTTGAAATAAATGGTATTAAATCGAGTTTACTTGAGGTTAAATATGGAGTCCCTAAAGACAGTCTTGCTGGTCCCAGACTCTTTTCCATTTATGTCAATGACTTTTCGGAATCAATTTCTCGAGGTGATTTACAGCTATGTGCTGATGATACAACAGCCTTTATAATCGGAGACAGTACTGACGGTGTTGTTGGACAATTGAATTTGCTGTTTGCTGAGATCTGTGATTGAAGCGACTCAAATAAATTGACCTTACATAAAGGTAAATCGGAAGGGATGAATTTGCATAAGCATAGTATGGTTGAGCCTTTGCCTCCTGTCAAGTGTGGTAACACAATCATTGAATACACCAGCACCACTAAATGCCTGGGTGTGGTTATTGATAACAAACTGCTGTAGAAACAACAAGTGAATAAAGTATCCAAATTGTATGGGCACCAGATCAGTATACTGAGGAGAATGCGTCAGCACCCATCCAAGGTACTGGGGAAAATATACTAAAAGGCCATCATCCTGCAAGTTACCCTCTCCATATCAGTATGAGGAAGCTGCTCTCCTACAACATTTGTTCAAATTGAAGAATTGCATATAAAAGCTGCTAAAATAATTGATAAGGTACCAAAGAACAGTATGGATTGTGATGTACTACAGTATGTACGCTGGCAAAACCTTGGACATACATACAAGTGTAAATTGGCTGTTGAGATGTTCAAAGCGAAAAATATGTTAAGTACACTTCCCTCACACGTTCAAATCCCGGAGTCACGACGCCGAGGAAAACTGATGGTAATACCTAGAAAGAAACTGGACTCAGGTAGAGACAGTGCTTTATTTAGAGGTCCTGTTGTTTGCAACTGTTTGGATAAAGCAGCTCGTGACTGTGAGAACATTGAGACTTTTAAAAAGGCTCTGAGAACAACTGACAACAAAATAACGTTACAGAAAGTCTCTTTTGTGAAAGGAACATGCACAAATAGCAACATATATTACTAAATTATATGATAAATGTTTTGTTTCTCAGTGTCTTCCTAATTTTAAACTTTATTTGTATCACTGATCTTATCTATGGAATTCATGCGGTTTTATCTATTTATTAATTTTTATATTGTCATAGTAAATTTTTTTGATGACATCAGCTATTTTTAGCTGCCTTAATTTAACCTGCTATACCAAATAAAGTGTATATGTCTGTATGCAAATCTCTCTTGGAGGTCTCAGTATATTCGCAAAACGCTAATTCAGTAGTATTAGAGGGAGTTAAGATTTGTATTTGTTCTGAGCGCTAACAGAAAGAATGAAAATATATCGTGGCCTAACTCAGATATTATAAAATATTTACTCGAATATTTTATAATATTTACTTCTCGCAAGTAAAACGTGCTCAGCCTCATGTTAGTTATTTATGCAAACTAAGAAATTCGGCTTTTTTTTTTTTTATTAAGGAAATCAACCGGAAAGTCTATCCATCGTTTTGTTTTAATGCTCATTTTTACACATCTGTCCGTGACGATGTCACCAACGCAAAAGCATCAGCAATTAAAAAAATGTGTGCCTAACTTACAGGGGAATTTTAAAATCTGAAACAAGGGGAAAATCAACAGTGTGACTGTATGAATAGTCATTCGTCAAGAAAAAAGAAAGGCAAATTTGAAAATCATTATGTCGGCGCTAAGGAGAAATCAAGTGGAAAAATGTGTGTGAGGCGAGGAAACTGTCGGCTCTACTATAATGAAGAGACTGAAATGTCCGCTTTAAGCAATTTTTAACTCAACTGCCACCTGCTGATGCCCGATGGTTTTCATGACATTTTTTTATTTAAAAATAAGTTTTCATGTCATGTATTTGTTTTGTCTCAAGGAATAATGTTCTAAAAACACTCGCGCGGAACTTTGTTGCTGTTGTCTCCCTTGTTTTCATTAAATCAAGCTTGGGTCTCACGTTTGCCTGCAGCCAGAAGACAATTCAAAGACCAATCAACACCTTAATCACATCGAAAAGTTTAACGAACGGTGATCTTAAAGACACAGAAAGGCTGAATTTATACATAAAGCTTAAAAGGGATCTATAGCCAAAATGTTCTGGAAGATGTTCTTCCTAGCACTTGTGATTGATGAGTACGAAAAACCAAAATCAACGGTAACCTCCCTGGTAACTTTTTGAAAAACTTCTTGTATTAAGTGTGCTATTGGAGACATGATGTACCACGCATTTTATTTCTATATTTTATTGGTTTTTGGACAAGGGCCTTTATAGCTCCTTATTTTTTTTTTCCTCATTACTTTCAATTATCGTGGAAGAAAGATGTGGATGTGGTTTTTCAAAATGTATGACTTAATAGTATATCATTTTACATTGTAACATGACTGATTTAACCATATTGCTAAATATATCGTTATTTGTGACGATATATTTACCAAGCTGTGGCAAATTGCTTCTTATTTTTTACGAAAGCTTGCAACAGAAAAAAAATCGGAGTGGTTTATAAGACTTTTTTTCGTTCTTTAGAGTCATCCGTCTATACACCCATTTTTCAAGTATGAGTTCCTGAGTTTTCCTTCTTCTGCTTTTCTTCTTTTTTTGGGGGAGCGGGGGAGATATGGAGGGGAGGGGAGGGGATGACAGGGGTCCAATTTTTTTTTAGTATTATTATAATTTGTTTACAGCTTTCTTTTGAATCAATTTACCAATTCATATCATTTTCATATTTATTCATTCTCCTTTGATGTGATACAAACAGGAATGGTCTATTTTATCAAAGCATTCACCGCCAAACACAGATTATTTGTTCTATGCTCTAGCAATGCACATAAAGACGTGGAGGATGGCTTAATGCTTTAAAGCATAGTTGAATGATACTTGACGCTGAAAATATTTGCACTGAAGCGACGATCGCAACTACTAAAAGATAAGGATAACGATACCTGAAAAAAGGATATCGCAGCTGACTTAAATGTAAACGAAATAAACATTTCTTTGCTATTTTTTTATGACTTCAGCATTATCATAATCGAGCAAAAGACTGAAGTGGATGATGGCAATCGTGACAGTCACCAAAACGATCTTCACTCGGAAAAAATTACTCGCTACTGAAATTTGGGTACAGTCAAGTGTTTTCTTTGAAATTTAAAGTTGGATTCCACTCTTTTTTAAGATCATACATGTAGTAACCAGTGCTTCAGAGGCTACGCAGAATTGAAACCTCGAGGGATAAAAGACACGTGTCAGCGAATTGTGAACGGAACTGGTTTGCTACCGTTAAGAATTAGAAGCCATTACTATATCCGAAAATATTGTACGGTATGGTGCAGCCGGAGACCGCTTGTACACCGAATGCAAATATGGCGTCCAGTTTGAATTCCCATCGTTCTGGACTAACTAGCCTCGTCTTCACGTGGAAACACAAAAGGATTATTACATGTG